GGGGTTGATGAAACGCAACTGACTTATGGAAAATAAAATCTATACACAACTCACGTTTGCAGAAGAAAAGTAACAAATTGGATTAAATCTGACTGGGGAAGGTCAAGCTGCTTCTCTTCAACTTGTTTCTTTAGTTCATCCATCAGTTGATTAGCATCTCTCAGATTCCCCGAAGATAAATACCTACCATGACCACAAAAAAAAGGGAAAATCACTCATTCTACGCAAACAATAGTAGCAGCAATCAGGAAAACTTATTAAAAGAAGACAGGAGGAAACAAGAATAGATGGGGAAACCAAAAAAAAAAAAAGAAAGCATCAATCATGGATTTGAATCGAAATTGCATAAAAATCTAGTATACAAAGGCACTGCAAGATGGTAATTGAAAATGTACACCACGCTATCTAGTTAGTAAGTAATCTCACATTAAAATTGCTCGTGAAATCGCTAAATCGTCTTCTCCAGGATAACACTGCATGTCAAGACATATGAACCTTTAAAAGACTATGTTGGCAGGAACAAGTATAGAAGACGTAGGTGCAAAAGTCCAATAAGCAAGTTTCTCTATACATTCATAGTTTATTTCACTAGAGTACGAATGCATTTAACAAGTCTTAGTTTGGCAAAAGAAAGAGTCATCAAAGAAAGGAAAAAAAAAAAAAAAAAGGAAAGGCAGAGAACATAAGTATTAATATATTGGTCATTTATAAGTTTGAATAAAATATTTTCTCTCAGTTTGTTTATCTAACAAAATAGGAAATAAGATCTACCAAGGAAACCGTAATACCAACAGAAAACCCTTTCAAAAAATACTTTATTAAACATGCAACGTTTCAAAAAACAGGGTAGCTTTCTTCAGCTGGAGAGTATGATATCAGACACTTCATTGCCTAACTATTATTTAAACTCCAAGAAAACGAACAACATCAATGTAGAATAACAAAAGAAGAAGGTTTAACCTTGCCCATAAAATTTACTAAAACAGAAGCAAACTTTTTCAGATTGTTTCCTTTGATAAAATGATGCGAAACCCGAGCCATATCCTGCACAACATCGTTAAAATAATCAACTTCCAAGAGACGGTAATAATATTACAAACTAAAAAAAAGCAATAAACTTGAACATATAATATCGTTATAATCGCAACTTTGTGAAAATTGTGAAAGGAAAGTATCACGGAGTTTGCTAGAATATAAGAATTAAGCTCAGCCCATATGACATGAATGAAGGTCAAGGAACAGAAGTAGTAACAACTAAATACTTGAAGCCAAAAAGTTTTTTGCTGTCACACCTACCACCTCAGGAGATTCAGAATATATGTACTCGGCAAGCATAGCATGCAGTTCTGGAGAACCATATCTGGGTGCTCCAAATTCTGCAGACCATCTGTGAGACCAAAAAAATAAAAATAAAAATAAAAAATAGTTAGCACATATCTTCAGTGCTAAAGTACCCACTAGCATCTGATTTAAAAAAAAAAAAAAAAAAAAAAAAAAAAAAAAAATAAAAAAAAAAAAAAAAAAAAAAAAAAAAAAACACATTGTTTAACATAAATTTGTATGCACAGAACAGAATCAATGTGTATGTGTTTGCGTGTGTCAATGCCATGAAACTATCTTTATGCAATCGGATAAAAAAGACTCGTAGAGGTTAAGAGCAAGAGAACAACCACCAATGTTTTAAAGCATACAACACGCATCATTCTTAAATATTCTATAACGTATTAGCATTTAGCAATACTCCCCATCCTAAAACCACATTCTAGAATGGCATGCCCATATTTGAATGCATAATAAAAGAAGTATAAAACATCTTACTTAATAGCAGCTTTTAAAAATGATGAGCAGCCATCCACACGAGTCTTTGCAGCCCCAAGAGCCTCAGAAATTTGTTGCATATCTTCATCATCACCCAAGTGTTGTGGCACGGGAATCTGAGGGAACTTCGTGTAAATTTTCCTGACGCCATCTAAGATAGTTTTTCGTCATAATCATCATAATCATGAAGACAAAAGATATCAGATGTCTTTAATAGATCAGAAACAATATATGGTTAAAAAACCATGTTGAGCAATTACAATTTCCGATGGTTAGAAATTTGTAGCATGTTGTGAAGTATACCATAAAATGGAAACCAAGTGAAAAAATCAAACAAAAGAAAGGAAAAATAGCACTTAAGATCACATCAAAGGAAAGGAACCAAGCGTGAATCACCAAGCATTAAGCTATTACATTACAAGGTAAAACTAACCAAGGTTTTCATCATTATAAGGAACTCTTGCTTTGACAAGGATGTCCACATACAACACCGCTAGCTCTGCCCCACATGTTACCTGTAATGGTTTTAATTTTCAGAACATTACTGATGTAAGACAAAGATAGATCTAAGAATGAGATCGAACTTAAATAGAAAACAGAAAATCGAGAAGACAAAGAGAACCGTAAGAGAGATAGGGAACAGACTCAGATGAGAGAAACAGAGGATATAAGAGAACAAGAACTGATCTAAACTAAGCTACTTATAGAGATCTAAACTATTGAAAAGCTAAACTTGACCAAAATTTATTTAATCCTAAAAGATACACACTAACATAAATTCAAAAATAAATACTAAAGATAAATATATCCTAATAGATAACTATATAATTCATATTCAAAAACCCTAATCTTATTCTTCAATAATTACAAGATGAACAAGTAATAAGTTAGAAATAACACAACAAACTTGTCAGCAGAATAGACATTGACCTAAACTGACCTACCCAAGAACTGTAGAAGATTCAGCTTAAGTTAAAGCCCGGGTATTGAAAATTATCACATGTTAAGCCCTATCCCATCCCATCCCAGATCGTTTGAACTCACAACATATCACCATATAAAAATGAAAACTCAACAAAGGGAAAGATATCATGGCTCAAGTGCATAACCAGCAACATAAGAGCATTTACCTGCCCATGTTCCAATTGAATGCAGGCACCTGAATGAAGTATATCCAAAGCTTCCATATACCTCTGAGCAGAGACATATCTGCAATAAAGCATGCATTCTTCATCAGTGAGACATACCTGAATCAATAACAAGCGGGTTTCTGCTAGACGTTAATCATTATCAACAATGTCGAAAAGGACAGCATCCGCACTCGATATCCATACATGAAATTCATAATAATTAAGTTCTCCCAACCGAGGGATAAATATTATGAACCCAGAAAGTTCATCAGAAAGTAAACAACAAATAATTTATACAATGATGTATAAATGTCCCAGTGTATGCATATCTCCATAAACTTAAAAACAATGTTCATACCTTGCACTTATAGATTTATACATTTGTTGGGCTCCATAGTAATTACCCTCTTCAACAACTTTCTTTAACTTCTCAATATTCTGCATTGAAAAGCAACATCACGGTGCACCATTGAAACTGGTAATCGTTATTTTTGACGAAAAATCGGTAATCATTATCAACATAGATATATGCGATTGAATTAATCATCATTTTTTTTTATCTGAAAATGCAAATTGAGGCTACATTCCTCAGTAACCAAGCAAATGTATGGAAAGTAAAGAAATTGGCATCAAGAACACAACAATAAGGAATTACTTTCTTTCTACTTCTTCAATTTTTGTACTAAACATTATAGTAACAAGCAACAACACAAAAATTCCACCTTTTTTCGCAATCTCAATCTACTTCCCACAGAAACCAAATTCAGAAACAAAGTAATACCGATCAAAATTTGGAGGAGAAAAAAAAATAAACTGTTGTATTTTAAAACCCAGAAAACAAACACGAAGCGAGTCTTTATGGAGACCAAGTTGCCCATTTGTTTTCCCGGCAACCAAACAGAGAGAAAGGAATTAGTTAGTTTAGGGGCGTAGTACCTCTTGAGCTGGGGGTAGTACGCCTCTCTTAGGTCTCTCCCGCGACATGGCCTTCGAGATCTGAATCGGTCCCGAACAATTCCAAACAAAAAAGGCAAAAAGACAAACTCCAGGAACCTCAAATGAACAAAATATCACCGGCTTTATCAAACACAAAACAAACACCAGGCCTCCTGCTTCTCTCCCCTCTTTCCTCACGTGTGTGCGCCTGTGCGCCGGTTTTCTTCCTTTTCTTTTTTTTTTTTTTCCCCTCTACTGTCTCCTAAAATACAAGACTTCTTGTTTACTTGCGATCCCATCAAAAATAAATAAATAAATATATTCAAAACCGTTCAAAATATCCCCAATATTTAGAATTAGAAAACTGTTCTAAATGCTCTCTCCGTTTTATCTTCATCTGTATGTGTAACAAAAACAACCAATATTTTAAGGGTCGTAGATCTGAAAAGTATGACGTGTCATGGGTTGACAAGCATAAATATGTGACTCGTTGAGGGCCGTAGATCTGAAAAGTATTTTAAGGGCCGTAGATCCAAAAAATATGACGTGTCACGGGTTGACAAGCATAAGTATGCGACTTGTTGAAGTCAGATTTGATACGACTAAAATATTTACCAATCGACCTTCAAAATAGATGACGATGATATGACTTATAATGAAGATGTGGGGACGGTTAGGCCCGAAGAAAATTGCTGAAAACATATCTTATGGCCCACTTCGTTGACGAATGTCCAAAATACCCATGCAAAAGATGTTAGAGAACTCAAAAATAATAAATAAATAACTATGTAAATGAAGAATGATGTGAAGAGTGATCAAATGTTTGATGGAGATGAGGCTTAGTAACTAGTCAAGATCTTAATTGAGTAGTACTTTGAAGACAGACACGAGCTCCCTCGAGGGAGCGAAATTGTAACTTGCAGAGCTGGATAAAGTTTTGATGGGCGACGCTCCAAAGATAGACGTGAGCTGCTTTGAGAGCAAAGACATGACTTCACGAGGCTTGATAATGTTTTAATGGAGCAATGTTCCGAAGACAAACTCGGGCTGCTTCAAGAGCAAGAAGGTGATTCGGAGCACTACTCTAAAGCGAGTGCAATTCTTTTTTTGCGATCATTCTTTTTTACGACAATATTTTTTCTTCAAAAAAAGAATTATATTATTCTGTTCATTATATTATGTATGTTTTTACATGTTTAGTTAACTTGAAATCCTAGGGTCTAAATTTAGTTTTGGTTGAATAATTAAAAATTGAAAGGTTAGTTTTTTATTCTTTTAATAGTTTTTAACCAATTATATTTTTTTACAACTATTATAATTTATATATTAGAAATGGTTAAGTTTTACCTTAAAAAGACTACCATATGCTCAACTAATATAAAGAATAGTTTTGCATTCATTTAGCCCCTTGTTTGGTTTAATCTTTTATTTTATTTTTTCTCTTTTCTTTTTATGTTTAGTTTTTTGTTTATATTAGATATTATTGTTAAAAGAATAGGGATACCACTAAATTATTTTTAAAGGATACAAATACAATGACGCTCTACGATTTTACATGAGATGCGCTTCGAGGACAACCCACATTTAAATCATATTTATGAGTTCTCTATTTCGTGTTTGCTTTTTTATTTTGTCTTTTTTCGTTTGCTTGGTTTGTGATGCTTATTATTTCTTATTATTCATTTATTAAAAGTATATAAAATATGAATATAGAATCCAAAAAAAAAAAGAACAATAATAGAAAAAAATAAAATTTTAGGGTAAGAAGCGATAAAAACAGGGGTCAAACAAGATTAAAATGAAAAAATAAATAAATTTTAAGAAAAAGAGACCAAAAGCAACAACAACAAAAAAGAAGTTTCAGGGCAAAAATTAAAAAGAAAAAGTGTAAAAATCAACCAAAATGAGGAAATAAATAAATTTAAGGAAAAAAGAACTAAAGTGAAAAATAAATTCAAGAAAAAAATAAAACAAAGGTCAGAGAAGGTAAAATGAAGAAATAAAAAAAATTTCGAGCAAAATAAACAAAAACAAAAATATAATAAAATTACAGAACATAAATTAAAAAAGGTAAAAAAAATACTAAAATGAAAAAATAAATAAGTTTTAAGGAAAAGAAACCAAAACAAAAAAAAAATAAAGTTTTAAGGAAAAATGTATAAAAATAGTGAAAAAAGGCTAAAATGGATAAATAAATAAGTTTTTAAAAAAATGAACCAAAATGAAAAAAAAAAAACTATGTTTCAAGACAAAAGTAAAAAAAACAATGAAAAAAAAATTTCAAGACAAAAATTTTAAAAAGTAAAAACCAAAATGAAGAAATAAATAAGTTTTAGAGTAAAAGAAACCAAAAAAAAAAAAAGGTCACAGGTTAAAAATAAAAAAAAGGGTAAAAAAAGATAAAAATGATAAAATAAATAAATTTTAGGGTAAAAAGTCAGAACGAAAAGTAAAACAAAATTCCAAGACATAATTTTTTTAAAAAAATATATAAAAAAAAAGAGGACTAAAATGAAGGAATAAAAATGTTTTTGAGTGAAGGTAAAATGAAATCAAAATGGAGAAATAAAGTTTCAGAGCAAAGTAAAAAAAGGGTAAAAAAATAACTAAAATAAAGAAATAAATAAGTTTTAAAAAAATAAAGAAGAAAGAAATAGAATTTGAGGATGAAAATAAAGAAAAGGGTAAAAAAGACAAAAATGACAAATAATTAAGTTTTAGAGTAAAAGAAACTAAACCGGAAAAAATAAAGTCTTCAAGTAAAAATAAAAAAGGTAAAAAGACCAAAATAAATCAATAAATCAATTTTAGGGTAAAAACTAAACAAAAAGCAAAATAAAATTACAAGATAAAAACTTAGGCCCCGTTCACTTCACCAAGCGAGTGCAATTCTTTTTTTGCGATCATTCTTTTTTACGACAATATTTTTTCTTCAAAAAAAGAATTATATTATTCTGTTCATTATATTATGTATGTTTTTACATGTTTAGTTAACTTGAAATCCTAGGGTCTAAATTTAGTTTTGGTTGAATAATTAAAAATTGAAAGGTTAGTTTTTTATTCTTTTAATAGTTTTTAACCAATTATATTTTTTTACAACTATTATAATTTATATATTAGAAATGGTTAAGTTTTACCTTAAAAAGACTACCATATGCTCAACTAATATAAAGAATAGTTTTGCATTCATTTAGCCCCTTGTTTGGTTTAATCTTTTATTTTATTTTTTCTCTTTTCTTTTTATGTTTAGTTTTTTGTTTATATTAGATATTATTGTTAAAAGAATAGGGATACCACTAAATTATTTTTAAAGGATACAAATACAATGACGCTCTACGATTTTACATGAGATGCGCTTCGAGGACAACCCACATTTAAATCATATTTATGAGTTCTCTATTTCGTGTTTGCTTTTTTATTTTGTCTTTTTTCGTTTGCTTGGTTTGTGATGCTTATTATTTCTTATTATTCATTTATTAAAAGTATATAAAATATGAATATAGAATCCAAAAAAAAAAAGAACAATAATAGAAAAAAATAAAATTTTAGGGTAAGAAGCGATAAAAACAGGGGTCAAACAAGATTAAAATGAAAAAATAAATAAATTTTAAGAAAAAGAGACCAAAAGCAACAACAACAAAAAAGAAGTTTCAGGGCAAAAATTAAAAAGAAAAAGTGTAAAAATCAACCAAAATGAGGAAATAAATAAATTTAAGGAAAAAAGAACTAAAGTGAAAAATAAATTCAAGAAAAAAATAAAACAAAGGTCAGAGAAGGTAAAATGAAGAAATAAAAAAAATTTCGAGCAAAATAAACAAAAACAAAAATATAATAAAATTACAGAACATAAATTAAAAAAGGTAAAAAAAATACTAAAATGAAAAAATAAATAAGTTTTAAGGAAAAGAAACCAAAACAAAAAAAAAATAAAGTTTTAAGGAAAAATGTATAAAAATAGTGAAAAAAGGCTAAAATGGATAAATAAATAAGTTTTTAAAAAAATGAACCAAAATGAAAAAAAAAAAACTATGTTTCAAGACAAAAGTAAAAAAAACAATGAAAAAAAAATTTCAAGACAAAAATTTTAAAAAGTAAAAACCAAAATGAAGAAATAAATAAGTTTTAGAGTAAAAGAAACCAAAAAAAAAAAAGGTCACAGGTTAAAAATAAAAAAAAGGGTAAAAAAAGATAAAAATGATAAAATAAATAAATTTTAGGGTAAAAAGTCAGAACGAAAAGTAAAACAAAATTCCAAGACATAATTTTTTTAAAAAAATATATAAAAAAAAGAGGACTAAAATGAAGGAATAAAAATGTTTTTGAGTGAAGGTAAAATGAAATCAAAATGGAGAAATAAAGTTTCAGAGCAAAGTAAAAAAAGGGTAAAAAAATAACTAAAATAAAGAAATAAATAAGTTTTAAAAAAATAAAGAAGAAAGAAATAGAATTTGAGGATGAAAATAAAGAAAAGGGTAAAAAAGACAAAAATGACAAATAATTAAGTTTTAGAGTAAAAGAAACTAAACCGGAAAAAATAAAGTCTTCAAGTAAAAATAAAAAAGGTAAAAAGACCAAAATAAATCAATAAATCAATTTTAGGGTAAAAACTAAACAAAAAGCAAAATAAAATTACAAGATAAAAACTTAGGCCCCGTTCACTTCACCGATTCGAGTTTAGAATTTGAGTTTTGCTACAGTAAAAAGTTCTTAGAAACAGTCACATCTAACTTTTTTGTTATAGTAAAAAGCTCTCATATAAAATTACATCTCAACTTGAATTATAAACTCAAATCAGCAAAATGAACGAACTCTTAAAAAATTGGTAAAAAAAAATTGATGTTAAAAAATAGAAAAAATAAAAGCAATGACTTGAAAAGGAAAAAGGAGGTGCATTTCGACCAGAACAACGAAACGTGCCCAACATTAAACCGGTTTCAGCCGTCGAATCAAACTTATCAATAGACTTAATGCACAAATCAGTTCAAAATAAATAAATGAATATAATAAATAATAATAATAATAATAAATAAAATTAGAAATGATTTTGGCCTCGGATCAAACTTATCAACGATCTTAATACACGAGTGAATAGTACGCACAGACTAAGGAGAATGGAGCAACATGCATGGACTAAGTGGATCCCGCCACGATTTTAAATCAGCAAATTAGAATGCGACACATAGAGCTCTTACTGGCCACTTTCCATTAGCTTTTGATTCCATACATTGTGATTCACATTAGCACGTGTTTTCCACAAATAATAACACATGACAAATTAAAAGAATGAATCATTAACGCAACGACACATGCATTTTATTGAAGAAAACACCAAATTAAAGCTTGACACATGGCATCCAAAAGGAGACAAAACAACTTTATCAAAACTTTGAATAGTTCAGTCGTATCTAGGTGAATAGTCTTATGTGTCTAGAAAAATAGTAAATGTATTCACCTTTAATATATAGTTATAGATGTAGATATTATATATATATATATATAGCATTGCGCAAAGAAATAAAATTTTTTTTAAAAATTGAATATCCACTTATACCATTCAAAATTAACAAGATAATACACTACATGAAATGAAGAAAAACAAATAACAACCAAAATAAAAAGACAACAAAGTTAAAGTAATGATACTAAAATTTTAATGTTAAAACTCATTTAAACCTTCTTTACTAAAAAGAAGTATTCTTCTCCACTTCAATAATTTTCAAAAGCTTTTTTTTTTTGAGATTGAATCAAACTTTTTACACAAAGGAAAATGCTACAGTTTAATTGAGTTCGTTCTTATGCAGAATACTTGATAAACGTAAATCATTTTTTTTTCTTTTTTTTTTTTTGGAAAGTTGCCGTTTCTAATTTCAAAATCTCAATCCCTATTAACTATTCCATATTTGAGGATATCACCTTATGTGGTGAATTCTAATATATATATATAAAATAACTGGCTTCTCAAAGAAAATTAAATAAAAAAATCTAAATAGTGTATAAAAAAATATGGACAATTCTAGGGCCGTAGGGGGGCGCTTTTTTCCTATTGATATAGTGAAATAATAAAGTCTGTTAGATTAAAGAGACGTTTGATAGGAGGATTCATATCATAATTTGAATCATAGTTTATAGTTTATGATTTATGTATTTTTTTTTATAAAAAATACATGTAAATTGAAAATAATTTTAATATCATAATTTTAATTTATAAACTAAACATCTCCTAAATATTTAGGACTTTTTTCGATACGTCAACATTATATTATATCTTTTATTTATTAATTCTTTATAATATCACGTAAAAATATACTAGATGTATTAAAAAATCTCTTTAAAAATTTGTGATCTAAATACATTGTTAACAAGAATAAAGACTACCGCACTTAATCAAATATTTTATTCACACCAAAAAAAAAAAAAAAAAAGCCTTCCTTTCCCTGTTCCCCAAAGCAAATTTTGCAGTAAGTTGCAAATCCATCTTTGATACCCCAACTTAATTTGCAGACCCACCAGCCACCACTTCCCGGCCTCCCAAGCCAGTTTCGCCCCACGGCATCCTGCACCCCGCACACCCAACTTCTCCCCTCTCTCCGACAGAAGCCCTCTCTTCCAATAAGACTTCTTCAAAAACAGGTTTCTCTCTAGTATTTGGGGGTTTTTTTTTGTTGAAAAGGGAAATCTAGTGTATATTTTATGGTTATTACGAATATGATTATTGTTATCGTTAATATTTTCTGAATTTTGTGTAAGTTATTATTATGTCTACAATTTGGAGAGTTCATATATGTCATGAGAATATAGAAGAGGTGTTTGGGGAAGAAGAAAATGAAGGAATTTTCGAGGAACAATAGATTCGGAAACTGGAGCAAACAAAACCATAATCTCATTCACTTTTTCTCTCTTGATTCCAAAATCACCCAGTTTAGAGACTTGGATTTGCTTGTTTCGAAATCAACCAGTTTAGGAATTTTGATAATTTGAAGGTTGGTTTCTGGGTTGTCTGAATTCTTTGGAATTGTTGATTGCAAGGAAAATTTGATAATTTGAAGGTTTCTGAGTTGTCTTAATTCATAAAATTTGATAATTTGATAAATTTTGCTTGAATTGTTGGTTTCTGGGTTGTTAATATTCTGAGTTTTGGATTGCGAGGAAAATTTATGATTTTAAGGTTGGTTTTTACTTTATATATATATATATATATATATATATATATATATATATAAAACTATTGTTCTTCAGTTTTTTTTAATATAGGCTACAATCCGGTGTGAATGAGACTACGTAAATCTTCAATAAGATTTAATATGGATCGTTGGATTTCACCAGTACCATGGAGTCATAGCACGCCCAAAAAATATAATAGAAACAGGCCTAAATTGTAGGCTAAAACTTTGGGGCCTTAAGCAGACGCTTAACTGCCTTAGGGTTAAGCCGGCTCTGCTTTTGATAATAAACAAGATTTTTCAGTTTGTGAGACCTTTTATTGAATATTTAATTGTTGAAGCTGCAGATCTTGGTGATTTCTGGAGAAGAGGAAAAAAGAAAACGTATTTTGAAAATGAGTTCTGAAGCCTTACATGTTACTAAGGTGTACAGAAACCTGCTCAGAGCAGTGAAGAAACATATTGGCAATGAAGAGAACAAGAGGCACTTCAGAGAATATGTGACAGAAGAATTTAGAAAAAAATCCATATCAACAGACCTCTCTTCCAATCAGCATAGAATTAAGCTTGCCCAAGATTACACTTTTCTTCTCAACAGTGTGCACCATCACAAGGCACTTCTCTCATCCCTTATTCTAATTCACAGTGCGCACCATTTTTCTTTTTCTCATTTTTGCGGTCAAATTAGTTAGCTATAATCACTTCAATCCTGCTGTTGGAGTATTTTCTTGTTTTGAAGTTACAGGAACATAACTTGCTTTTTACAGTAGGAGAGTGGAACGCATGAATTTTCAAAGCTTAAAAAAATAATGGTTTTTACCTTGTTTTCAAACTTATTGATGTCCTTGTTTCAATAGTCTGGATGCTTGAGGTTCTATTGGATAGGTTCTCTTCTTATATCTTAATTTCTGTTACTTATAAGGAACTAGTAATCTACACCTCTAAGATCTATTTGTCTCAGCATCGTCATGATTGTGCAGGACTTGTTATTCTCTTACAACATTGCTGTGGATAGATCAGATGAGATGAGGAGAATACTTGGGAAATCTGCTGCAAGTGTTGGTCTTCAACTACCCGAGGTTTATCAACCTTAAAGGTTGGTTTCTGTTCACACTCATCTTGTTTTTTCAGAGAACGATCTGAACTTTTTTTTTTTTTTAATTCTAAAGAATTTAGGGCGTTTGATTCCCATGATATATTTGACTTGTAACCACTCTCTTATTCTAGGGAAAAAAATAAGTTCAGTGCAGCAGCTGGACTGCTAGATTTTGTACTTCTATTGTTCTTTTCTTGCCATTCTCCTTTGTTGGGAATTGAGATATTAATTGTCAGGTACTTTTCCAGTTCAAGTTACTCTTTTCCAATTTTATCACTAGATGGTTTGTTGAAGGGGATTTTTTTTCCCCAACTTAAAGATAATATCTCCCAAAGCCGTGCAACTCACTCAATTATTATTAGTATCTGAAAGTTTGACACCTTGAAATGGTGACTCTAGGATTTCAAAAATGTGGGAATCAACTTTACACATTATTAACCAGATTTTGCATACTTATACTCATCGACTTATGTGGAATTTTTAAAGGCCCTAATTGGAGGGTACGTCGGAGTCGGAGTCGGAGTGGAGAGAATTATAAGTTTAGAATTGGAGTGCATAGAATTATGTTAAGTCTTGTTAAATCCCGGGGATTTGGGGCAGTCGGTGGTCTTGCTGCTATTTCTGCTTGTTGATTAATCAACAAGATCTCCATGTGTTGTGTATTATAGAAACTAGACTTCGTGCTGGTTATGATACACCAAATTTATAATGCTCATAACTTGAAGAAACTTGTAGGCACTTAACATATTATTTTTGAACTAATTTTTTTACCAAAAACTTCTTTAACCTTTACAAGGCATCTTTAAAGTTTTCATAAATCTTTTGGGGAAAAAAAAGCCCATTTAATTCATGACAAAAGGTTATATCAAAATCTTGAGCCAAAGTGTGTGGACAATTTTTTTTTTCTGCGCTTAAAACATCAAATACAAGACTAAGGGGCGTTCACTTCGTGGATCACACTCGAGTAAGCCCAACTCGTGTGTGGAATTGGGCTGAGTTTTGCGTTCACTAAACACAACTCAAATTTGAAGTTCGAGTAATAACTCGAGTTGGTGAATTTCACTCACCTCTCGTTTTCCCATTACTCGAGTTTGGTTCTACAATGCGGATTCCCTCTGCAGACAAGACATCTTCCCGTTGGAGCCTTGTTCTTGCCTCCCTCATCGCTCCTGATTTTCACTCTGAAAAAGCCTCGACATTTCCCTGAAAAGCCTCTCTGAAAAGCTCTCTCGCAGCCCTCAACGTTTCCTTGAAAAAGCCGCTCGAATCGATCCTGTGAACCTGTAGCACCAGTGGAAGTGAACTTGAATCGCAGGGTCCACGGTCAAGATCATCTGGTGGAATTAGGTAAAAATCCCCCCTATTTGCATCAATTTTGCGTTTATTTGAGTTGAATACTATAAACGCAGGTAATGTGAAGAATGGATTGTATTGAATAACCTTTACAGAATGCACACTTAAATAGAATTACAATAGGGAACAAAAAAAGGAAACTAGCTAAATTAGCCTATACTGATTTCTTTCCTGATTTCTAGTAATTTGACTAATTCTAATATTTCCATATTTACATACTAATTCAATCCATGGCACCTATTGCCTTTAATCACCGAATATTTCAACACTCCCCCTCAAGCTGGCTTGTAGATGTCTTCCATAGCTAGCTTGCTTCTGTCAGACTCCTTTTTGTGTAGTCCTTTAGTGAGTATATCAGCAGCTTGTTCAGCCGTCGGAACATAGGGTATGCAAATTAGGCCGTTTTCTATTTTCTCTTTGATAAAGTGTTTGTCCACCTCAATATGCTTGGTTCTATCATGGAGAACTGGATTATGAGCAATTGAGATAGCGGCTTTATTGTCGCAGTAAACCCTCATAGGTAAACTTGGAGTAATCTTCAAGTCGAGGAGTCTCTTTATCCAAATTACTTAACAAATTCTATGAGCTAGTGACTTGAATTCTGCGTCTGCGCTACTCCTTGCAACTACACTCTGTTTTTTGCTCTGCCAAGTAACAAGGTTTCCTCCAACGAACGTACAATAGCCTGAAGTTGATCGTCTGTCAGTTGTGCTTCCTGCCCAATCTGCATCGGTATAGACTTCAACCTGTAAATGTCCACGGTTTTTAAACAGTCAACCTCTTCCTGGAGTCCCTTTTAGGTATCTTAAAATCCTGTAGACAGCATCAAAGTGTTCCTGCCCCGGTTTGTGCATAAATTGGCTCACCATACTTACTGCAAATGCAATGTCTGGCCGTGTATGTGATAAATAGATGAGTTTTCCCACTAGTCGCTGGTATTTTTCTCTGTCAACAACTTCCTCGGGTTTGGCAGCTTCAAGTCTTAAGTTGGCATCGATTGGAGTTTCAGCAGTCTTGCAGTCAATAAGTCCTGTTTCTCTAAGTAGGTCAATGATATATTTCCGTTGGTTTACAAACATACCTCCTTTAGATCGGGCAAACTCCATTCTGAGAAAGTACTTCAGTGCTCCAAGGTCTTTGATTTCGAAGTTCTCATCAAGTTTTTTCTTCAACGGTGTTAGTTCTCCTACGTCATCTCCTGTCATGATTATATCATCTACATAAACAATTAAAATAGATGGTTTGCCCTTTTCTGTATGTTTATAAAACATGGTATGATCTGCTTGACTTTGACAATATCCATAGTCTTTCACAGTTCTCCCAAAACGTTCAAACCACGCTCTAGGAGACTGTTTAAGACCATACAGGGATTTCTTAAGTCTGCAAACTTTTCCTTGACCAATCTTATCTTCAAAACCAGGTGGTAAGTTCATAAACACTTCCTCTTCCAGGTCGCCATTTAGGAAGGCATTTTTTACATCCAACTGATATAAGGGCCAATTGGAGTTAACTGCCAATGACAACAGTACACGGATTGAATTCATTTTTGCTACTGGAGCAAACGTTTCTTGGTAGTCAATTTCATAAGTCTGTGTGAATCCCTTTGCTACGAGCCTCGCTTTATATCTCTCCAAACTTCCATCAGCTTTACATTTAATGGTAAATACCCACTTGCAACCAACGGTTTTCTTTCCTTTGGGCAGATCCACTACTTCCCACATTCCACTTTTCCTAAGAGCATTCATCTCTTCCATCACTGCCAATTTCCAATCTGGACTAAGTGCTTCCTGAATGTTTCTTAGAACAATCAAGTGTGAGATTTTTGAAATGAAAGCCCTATAATTATGGGAAAGTTTGTGATATGAGAGATATTTTGCAATAGGATGAATGGTGCAAGAACGGGTTCCTTTTCTATGAGCTATAGGAATATCAAGATCCTGAGGTTGTATATCAATTTCATTAGACTCAGGAATAGATGATAAAGAAGGAGGAATGGATGGCAAAGTTTGAATTTGTGTACCTGATCCTTTTAGGAATTCATCACTCGGAGGCTTTGATTGATCTTTTGCTATGATAGTAGATGAATCTCTTCCCCTTTGATGATTTCTTTTCCTGGAATAAACCAGAAGCTCTGAGTTAGATTCTCTTGGAATCATAGGTAGCATTTCTCCCCCTGTCGAAGAGTCAGCTAAGTTTGGCAAGCTTTGGTTGGGCACATCACTCTTATTCGGATCTTGTTTTGTAATGGGTGATGATTCAAAAGTAATTGGTTTAGGTAAAGGAGTTGGAAGAATCTCCCAAAAATTTTCTTCATCATGTTCCTTCTCCCCCTGAAGAAAATTGTTTTGAAAATAAGGTTGTTTTTCAAAAAAAGTAATATCCATGCTAACAAACATTTTCTTCGTTTGTGGATTAAAACACTTGTATCCCATTTTATTTGGAGCATATCCGATGAAAACACATTTTTCAGCTCTAGGGTTAAGTTTTGATCGATTTGTACTTGGCAAATGTACAAAAACAGTGCAGCCGAAAACCTTTAAAGGAAGGTTGGATTTAAGTCGTGTTATTGGATTGAAGTCGGATTGCTTCTTAAAATACTCAACCGGAGTAGTATAGTTTAGAACACGAGTAGGCATTCTGTTGATTAGATAACAGGCTGTTAAAATGGCTTCTCCCCATAAATATTTAGGAGTATGCATTGAAAACATTCTGTGGATTGATGATGAATCCCTTTTTCTTTTAAAAAATTCCCTAGCACTTCATTGAAATATTCAGTGCCATTATCAGTGTGGAGTATGCAAATTTTTGTTTGAAACTGAGTTTCAATCATTGCATAAAAATTCTTAAAAAGATTTTCAACTTCTGATTTTTCACGCATTAAGTAGACCCAACATAAACGTGTGTGGTCGTCAATGAAAGTAACAAACCATCTTTTACCAAACATTGTTTTGATCCTCGAGGGACCCCACACATCACTGTGTATTAAGTAAAATGGCCGTGAGGCTTGATAAGATTTCAAAGGATAACTAGAACGATGACTTTTTGATAAAATGCAGTTTTCACAGTAAAGGGATGAACAATCCAATCCTTTAAACAAATCAGGAAACAATTTTCTTAGATAAGAGAAACTAGGGTGCCCTAGCCTATAGTGCCAGAGCATTATTTGATCTTTAGTAGGGATAGAACTGATGCTACTCAAGCCTTGAGCTTTTTTATTATTGGAAATTCCATCTTCAAAGTAGTATGGACCATTTACCATCTTAGCATTGCCAATCATCCTCCCCGAGTTCTGCTCCTGAAATTCACAGTGGGATTCAAAGAAAACAACACGGCAATTAGAATCTGTGGACAATTTACTTACAGATAGGAGATTGCAAGCAAGTTTTGGAACGTGAAGTACGGATTTGAGTGCTATATTTTTTGTTAAGTTGATCAAACCTTTTCCCGCAATGGGTGAGAAAAAGAACCATCAGTTATCCTTATTTTTTCTATGCCAAAATGCCAAAACAAGGGACATAAGTATGAAACAAATGTGAAAAACTGGTCATATGATCAGAAGCTCCTGAATCAATGATCCAAGGAGCAGAACTCAGATTTAAATGACAGAATAGGGCATTTGGTTCACTACCTGACTGAGCCAGAGAAGCA